CTTTTTTTTAACTTGTCTGACATTGAATCAATTCAATGAGACAACCCTAAGCTATATAAGGCTGATTGTATATTCAAGTTTGATATATACTACAGATTAAAAAATAGAAAACAAGTATTTAATAAGTTATTTTCTTTTTTGATGATAAGCAAAGATTTCATTGGGGGGGTGGAATTCCAAAATTAAAGAAGTATTAAATAAAAAAGAAGTTTAAGAACCAATCTCCATGGAGACACCTCCCTAGAGACAAAATATAGGCATTATAATCTTCATAGACATATCCTTAATGGTTGGGACCTGGAGAGGGTAGGACTGGGAAGAACAGATTTGGAGACGCTGCAACTTGGTCGGGCTGGACTTATAGAGGGTGGTTGGTTGTTCCCTCAAGGTCGACCTGGTGCGCACCCTCACCCAGGCAGTTCCATGAGCGTGCACAGCACCAAGTAGCAGCACATGTGCCGCAGCGGCAGGCACAGCAGCAAGTCCGATACTCGGGCTTCTGGAGGGAAGGATCCTCTTGTGGGGTTGATAGCCCTGCCTCCCCAGTCAGGACTTGGTCCAATGACCCGGTCCAGCCCAGGCCTCCACTCCCAGTGGGAACTGGAGAGAAACCCATAGCTGACGTGCAGGCAAGTGGAACTGTTGTGCCCCGCACAATGGAAATGGTATTTCACATGTTCAGTTCTGGCCTCTGGGAGAAGAACTTAAAGATGGATTCTTTTTTTTTAGGGTGAACGAAAACTTGGATTTTAAAATAAAATAAGTAATGGCACTGCATGCTTTCAACTATCTCCACCCTTCCTTCGGGGCTCTTTAGATTATGAAACAAAGATCTACTCTGATAAGGACACTTCTCTTGTGCCAACGTCAGTAACTGTGCCCCTAGGAACCTCTGCGGACCATGGCCTTGCTCAGGACTGTCCTGTCCCTGTAGTGCGACCCTACTTAGTGCTTCCAGCTGACCACGAGCAAGATGCTGCTTCCCCTAGTTCCGCAGAATGATTACCTATTGCCTGCTTTGTCCAGCCAGGCCAAGGCAAAACAAATGAAAGGATAACATCATGAATCAATTATACTGTTTTCTTGCCTGAGACCGTTTATTTTAGGTGCGATGTGTAACTGAGTGAACGGAAAGTGGCAACGTCACATGTCGAAAGCACTTTCCCTTGGTCCTAGAGTACATTTCAAAATGTTTCGCAACAAGAAAGATGATGACAAACACAGGAGCCTCATAACTCTTGAGTGTTAAGAGAACGTTCTGGATTTTAAATGGAAGTCTCTTAGGCTGTGCACCTGGCTTTGTTTTGAAAGAATTCTAGGAATGGGAACATGGCTGACTTTGTCCCTCTGTGCCACTTCCCCCACAGAAGGGCCCTAACGCTTCCTGCAGGTCTAGGCACACACCAGGTGACCCAACAGCACCGGCCAGGTGACGGCAGAAGCCCCGAAATCCTTCCAAGGCACCATTTATCTGGTACCACCTTTATGAACTAGCTACTCTGATTACCACCACCACAACACACGAGCTGGCGACCCAATTTAACCTGGCTGAGAGGGGACTCTGAGATGTTTCACAGATATCAAATAATAAACTTGACACAAAGGCACTGTGCAAACACCAATCTGATGCTGAGAAAGCTGTTGCAACCGGATACCAGACAGCCACGCTTGTATCGCCCCTTTCAGGCTGGTAAACACTCGTTTATCGCTGTGTGCAGAGCTCGGGGCGGCACATGGGCTGTTCCCACCGAGTGGCACAGATTTCAGAGAGTAAGTATGATTAATGAGATCCGCGAAATGACGGGCGCAAAACCTCCCTGCTCTGACCTGTGCCTTTGGTCCTTTCTGGGGGGGCCAATATTTATAAAGCCCCAGACAGACAATTTTTTAAGAGGCCAACCTACCTGCATAGGGACAATAATTTAAGGAGGGAAATAAGGACATATGAGCTACCAAGGGAGCTTAGCTCTGAGCTTAGTTTAGCGCTCCTCTATCGTGACGTGTCGATCACGCCGGGAAGGTGATGATGTAAGGGGCACCGAAAACAATAGGATCCTTATCAACGAGGCGAACGCATATGATTGTGACCACACTGACCTATAAAAACCGATTTCATTTTCCAAGTGAGTTGATCAATCTAAAACTGTAAATACCAACTTACTTTTATTTCATCTCCGTCCCCCCTCTGCCCACTTTTCATTAGTTACACATTAACTCCTAAGTCTCCCCGCTCACACAGTGTGCTGCTGAGCTTCGGGCGTACCGGGCTCACCATTATTACAGTCAGAAGGAAAGATCTACACACCGCAGAGCAAAGCTTGCTTAGAGGACACCCTGCAGACTTCCCGGGGCTGCCCTCTGCCCCCCTGTAGGGTGCCTGTTGTTGGGTTGGAACAGGCAGCTCAGTTTCTATCTGCAAAGTGAGGACAACTGGGTGCCTGCGCTAGGATTCTAGGACCTAGTTCTGACCTTGGGGTGGCTGCAGGGCTGGGCTCTGGCTCCTGCTCAGCTCTCCCCTGCTGCTGGGAGCTGGGGTGGGAGGCTCAGCTGGTGTGCCCCAGTTGCTGACCCCACTCAGCAGCCCTGTGGTCCACATCGCAGAGGCTCAGACCAAAGACCCCTGGCACATGACCTGATTTCTCAGGAACTGACAGCCTTCTGGAGCAGGATGCTGCCTGGGCCCCCAGACTCCCCGAGGCTCTGCCTCAGGCTGGAGGCCTGGTACACAGCACTGCTGATAGCCGCTCCCCCTCCCTCCCTTCTCCGCCCCCCCATCCCCCAGGCCAGCAGGCAGCCCTGCACACTCAGGCCAGGCTTTGGAGAGCCAGCAAAACACTCCTCAAAGATCTCCCTTCCAGAAATCTCCCTTCTGTAACTCCACCACCGGTCATTCATTTGCAGATGACACATCGCTCACTCCTCGTAGGTCATTCTTTTCCTTGAGCAATTATATCAGCTGTTAGGAGCCCTGGTGGCATGGGGGTTATGCATTGGGAGCTAACTGCCAGGTCCACAGTTCAAAACCACCAGCCACTCCTTGAGAGAAAGAGAGGCTTTCTACTCTTGACGAGCGTTACCGTCTCGGAAACCCACAGGGGCAGTTCTACCCTGTCCTGTGTGATCAGGATGAGTTGGAAACGACTTGATGGCAGTGAGTTTTTTGTTTCTAACTGTCATTAGGGACCTGGGTGGCGTAGGGGGTTGTATGTTGAGCTGCTAACCGGAAGGTCAGCAGTCAAAACCCTCCAGCTGCTCGAGAGGAGAAAGATGAGGCTTTTTACTCCCATCAAGGGTTAAGTCCCAGACGCCCCTGGGAGCAGTTCTACTCTGTCCTCTTGGGTCACTGTGGGTTGGAATGGCTCAAGGGCGCTAAGTCTGGAGAGTGTGGAGACGCCCATACAGCCAAGCCTTCTTCCCGCAGGGCAACTATGCCAGCTGTCTTTCAGGGGTGGATGTCTTCTTTGGACTGCTGGGCCCTCCTTGAAGTGGACCGGCATTTATATCTGGGACCTGGTTACGGCCCTGACCGGATGCACCCCGAGACAAGGGTCCTGCTTTGCCCCGTCACGTCCTACGTGCTAACAACACAGAGTTTGCCTCCTCTGGGAGAGGGACATGATGTGGCAGGGCACTGCACAGAAAGAAGAGAAAGAGAATCCAGTCTGGGGGTCTCCAGATATGCCAATGGGGAGGACCCCTGGCTGTGAAATGCTACATACACTGGTTTCTGAAAGTTCATGGGAAAGCGAATGAAAATTTCCCCCAGCTTTTTGGAGGCTCCACAGAGGTGTCACCCGTGGGCTCTAAACTTCGAAAAGTCCACAGGGGAAAAGCTGTGGCTAGCTCACGGTGCCCACAGGAGCGAAGAGCTGCTCGGAGGAAAGCAACCTTCCCATAGCTGAGAGCAGACGGAAGTGCTCCCGAGGGGCCTTCTGCGGGCTCGGGGTGCAGCGTAGGGAGCAGCGCACAGCGAGGGACCAGGAGGGGGCGTCAGGGCTGAGGTTGACCACCTCTCCTGGTGGAGGAGCAGCGATTCTGATCATTTGGGGCGAAGGTGGACGAGGTGCGCAATGGCACACAAGTCATACCTGCATGTGTCTGATGACCAACAAACTCACTGCCAAGGAACCCCAACCCAACTAACAGCCAAGGGGTCCATTCTGACTCTTAGTGACCCGATGGGGTAAGGCAGGACTGTCCCGGAGGGTTCCTGAGACTGTCACTCTTTAAAGGGGTAGACACCTCATCTTTCTCCTGGCGATTTCAAACCGTTAACCTCGAGAATAGCAGTCCAATGCGTAACCACTCCCCCACCAGGGCCTTGTTTTTCTCCTGCAGAGAGGCAGGTGGTTTTGAACTGCTGACCTTGAGGTTAGCAGCCCAACACGTAACCCATTACGCCACTGGAGCGCCTTTGTGCATCTGAGAAGGCAGTTTAATCGGTAGTCTGCCCAAGTCAATGGGCTGTCTATCTGCACTATCCTCTGCAGAACCTTCGGGGAGCCTTTGCGAAGACACTGTGTCGTAACTGGTTACTTCTAACATTCTAGAGTGTGCTTGGAATGGACCTTCTCTATTTTGTCAATCAGAGTTCCACAGAGGGTTAGCCTGAGTCTCTAGGTGGTGTAAAGGGTTAACGTGCCCGGTGGCAAACTGCAAGGCTGTAGGTGGTTCAAGTTCACCCCGGAAGGAAGAAAGGCCTGGTGGTCTACTTCTGAAAACTGCCATTGACAACCCGATGGGGTGCGGGCCTGCTGTGATAGCCAGTGACCAGGTGGCAACTAGATTTTTAAGGTGTCGTGACCAAGCTCAAGATATGGCCTGGAGAGAAGTTTGGTATCCTCCTTGGAAGGCAAGTGGGCCCAACACAGCAGCCAGGGGCCCTGCTTAGATCTGAGCTGGGGGAACAGGGGAGTGCGCTGGGCTGAGACGGTGGCCCTGTGGATGCCGGGGGTGCTAAAGCCCATAGGTGGAAGGGTGAACAGGACGTGATGCGTTACCCCTGCGGTGAAGAAAGAGCTTCTATCCCCAAAGTGAGTTTTCTTGATCAAAAGGCGTTCTTCCCTCGACGCAAGAGGTTCTTCCTTCGACACAAGAGGTTCTTCCCTCGACACAAGAGGTTCTTCCCTCGAAACAAGGCGCTCTTCCCTCGACACAAGGCGCTCTTCCTTCAAAAGTCCCTTTAAGCCCTTCAATCTCCTCCGTCCAATCGGTGGTACACGGATGGAGGGTGTGTACAGCCTTGCGTGCCTGCTCTTGGAGAGCACCCTTCGCTGGACGGGCCTCCTGGGCGAAGTGGCGCCTTGCCCCTTTATGACTTTCAGGACCTGGCATGCACAGAAGAATCAACAGTTACTTTGGTTTAAATGTGTTCTTAATTGGGAATTAGTATATATACCATCCCCTCGTCCCATGACATCAAGCAGCATTGTACAGTGGCTACCACAGTCAGTTTGCCAACATTCTTCTCTTCCTGGACCCCTTGACATCGTCTCCTTTGGACCCTCTACCCCCACCCCCACCCCACCACCTCTATTCCTGGCGTCCCTATCTCTGCTCGCTGTTCCTCCTCCCCTGGAGCTGTGATTCCAGAATTGAGCTTTTCCATCCCAGAGGCATGGCTCGTGCCCATCTCCCAGCCCGACTACCTCGCTGTGCCTCTGGCCCTGGCTTAATTTGCGGGCTGCACTCTGATCTCTACTCCTTCCAACGGTGGTCTCTGTGTATGAAGCAAACCCTAGCCAAAGGCCAAGCTCCTTTGAAGGCCTCAGGAAGGTGGAGTCTTTGTGGAGTGGGGTGAGGGGGGTAGCTTGAGGTTTGGATGTTACTTGATGGTAGGAAGGAAACTGATGAGGGAGGTCATGGAACCTAAGGACCCGTGCTCCCCACAGGACATCAGCTCCTTAAGCGTGCCTCGCTCTGTTTTGCTTGCACCCCCTCCGTTCCCCCTCATGACCCACAACAGTCCTCCTGAACTCCCATCCACACTTCTTGCTTCACTCTCAAGCATGCTTGTTTGGTATCAAATGTAAGTTTTGGCATGGTGGCTTCGGTGTTGGGTGGCTGCCGATAGCCAAGCCGTTTGAACCCCCATTCCACTGCAGCACTGGAGACAGGTGAGGCGTTCTGTTCCCATGACGGGTGACAGCCTCTGAAACACATCGGCCACGTGTTCTACTCTGTCTGCTCCAGCCCTGGCCCGGTGGCAATGAGGGAGACAACATGCCAAACCTTGTTGGAAAACGGAAAGCGGTGGCATGGTAGGTGGAGCCCTGATGGCATGGTGGGATAAGCGCTGGACTGCTAACCTCCAGGTGGGCAGTTCAAACCCACCAGTCTCTCCACAGGAGAAAGACGCAGCTTTCTAGTACCATAAAACCTTTCCGTCATGAAACCCCCGCGGGGCAGTTCTACCCTGTCCTAGAGGGTCACTGAGAGTCAGAATGGGCTCGAAGGCAGGGAGATGGGTTCTTCAACCGAGATGCCCAAAGGAGAGAAGCCGAGACAAGGCAAAGGGAAAAGAAAGGGAAAGGAAAAAAGAACTTAAATGCAGACCTTAAAGCCCATGGTTTCACTTATTTTCCTTGTTTCTGCATTTTCTTTCTGTTTATTAACCTGTAAAAACGAAGGTTCAGATTATTATTACCTGCAAAGATTAAGAGAAGGGTTTCCTAGAAAACTCATTTACAAAGAGTGTCTTAGTCCGGATAGACTAGAGAAACAAATCCAGAGACACTCACATGCATATAAGAAAGAGCTTTATATCCAAGAGCAGTTGAATATTGAGAAAACATCCCAGTCCAGTCCAGATCAAGTCCATAAGTCCGATATTAACCCATATATCTGATATCAGTCTATAAAGTTTCAGACTCACAAAACACATGCAATGACGCCAACTGCAGGAAGATCATAGGCCAGTGGGTGGGAAGTCTTGTGGATCCAGTGACATTGTGAACATCTCAGCACTGGCAGGGGTTCTCCACATGGCTCCTCCAGCTCTAGGGCACTAGCTATGTCCATGTGTCTTATCAACTGCAATGTCTCCCAGGGAGTGAGCATGTGTCCTGCCTCCAGCAAGCTATTTATCTCTTTAGCGCCTCCAAATGAGGTCATCAAGCCATGACCTGATTGACAGGCTAAACTCCACCCCTTCTCTTAAGTTTCAAATTGGCAACAGATTATGTAACTACCTCAAAGAATAATGTTTTGAATCACTGGACTGCCAATCCTATGATGGGATTTGAGTTATAATATGAATTTTAAAAGAAAATGTATTTGCAACCAGAAGAACACAGTTATTCACTTAATACGAAGTGGTGTTCCGTCCCAGGCCTGAAGGGTGACTAAGGTACCGGGTCTTTTTTTTAAAAGAAATGTTAGAAAGTTTCATAGTCAAAACTTAATGATGCGATGAAGGAAATTTTAGTTTAAAATGTCAATTCTAATTTCTAGACATAAAGTGAAGTCTATCAACCCTGTTATGCACTGTGAGCAAGGCCAGTGGCTTTCAGTCTGACTCGTCTGAGTGTTCAATTAAAGAAGGATGAGAAGTGAATGGTTAATCTCACTGATGTCTGCACAGCGACGGAGCTTTCAAAAATATCTTTTACCTATGTAAAACAGGCCTACTGCACGACTTTCTGTAGTCCAGGAGGCCAGTCACTCATGCACATGAAAGACTGGCGCATAGACAGTCTCAGTACACATGGACACAAAGGTACTATTATAGTTCTGCTTCATTACAGTAGTTTGAGCGTGATTTCCTCCACAATGTTATAAGAAATTGCTAACAAATTTAACAAAACACCCCTCATTCACTTAAAAAGCATACCCTAAGTAAACACTAGGTGCCAGGCATTATACCAGAAGTGAAATCCCCGGGGGGTGAGAAGCAGCTGACAGCCAGCAGGTTGGAAGTTCACGTGCATCCAGATGCACCTCAGAAGAAAGGCCTGGCAAACTATTCCTGAAAACTTAGCCACTGGCAATTCCACGGAGCACAATTGTACTCTGACACATGTGGAGTTGCCAGGAGTCAGGGTTGGCTTGGCAGGAACTTTAAAATATGTATGCATGTATGCAACAAGCAACTTCTCATAACCTCTTTACAGAAGATGCTGCGTATGCAGTGATAAGCAGGGTAGATAGCAAAGGAAGCTCTCCACAGGTAGGACTGGCTTAGATGGATGGAGTGGTCAGGAAAGGCCTCTCTTGAGGAAAGGACAAAACCAGGTGTGATGGTTGCTAGGTGCTGTTTAGACTGCTCCAGCTCATCGATAGCAACACTCTCTCGAAAACATCGCCTGCTCCTGCGCCAGCCTCGCAATTGCCCTGATGTTTGGCCCCACTGTTGGAGCCACGGTGTCAGTCCATCTTGTCCAAAGATGTCTTTGTCGATGGCCCTCTGCTTTACCAAGCATGATGTCCCTTTCCAGGGGACTGGTCTCTCCTGATAAGGCTCAAAGGACATGAGATGAAGTCCCACCGTCCTTGCCTCTCAGGAGCATTCTGGCCGTACTTCTGAAACAGATTTGTTTGTTCTTCTGTCAGTCTGGTCAATATGTTTGGCCAGCACCATACTTCAAATACAAGAAATGTTTCTCTGTCTTCCTTATTCAACGGTCAACTTTCACATGCCTATCAGGCAGTTGAAAATACCCTGACATGGGTCAGGCCCACCAGAGTCCTCCAAGTGACAGCTCTTTAAAGAAGTCTTGTGCAGCAGACCATGGGTAGCATTTCATATCTTGACTTCCGCATTTATGACAATTGATTGTGGATCCCAGCAACGTGAAATCCTGAACAACTTCACTCTTTTTGCTACTTCTCACAGTGCAGTGATTCTCAACCTTCCTAATGCCGTGACCCTTTAATACCATTCCTCATGTTGTGGTGACCCCCCCCCCCACCACACAACCATAACATTATTTTCGTTGCTACTTCATCACTGTAATTTTGCTACTGTTATGAATTGTCATGTAAATATCTGACACGCTGGATGTATTTTCATTGTTACAAACGGAACATCATTAAAGCATAGTGATTCATCACAAAAACAATATTTGTAATGACAAATAAATGAAATTTTGTCTTGGAGCACAGTGTGGCATGGGTAACAGTCTTAATATAACAACAATAAACTGCATAGCTACATTTTGCAACAGTATGCGTTAAAGCCAACGTCAGTGCCAACGTTGAGATAGCTTCTTTCTCACCGGATCAGCATATCTGCATGTGGGTGGACCCTCCTGGAGACAGATAGAGTTGTGGTGTCTCCTTCTTAAGACCATTGGAAATATGTTTCCCGATGGTCTTAGGCGACCCCTGTGAAAGGGTCATTTGACACATACCCACCCACCCAAAGAGGCCGCGACCCACAGGTTACTAATCGAACCATTGGTGAGGATTTTAATTGTCTTAGTATTGAGTTGTAATCCACACTGAAGGTTGCAATCCTTGATCTTTGTCAGCAAGTGCTTCAAGTCCTCCTCGTTTTCAACAAGCAAAATCACGTCATCCGCATCCAAAAGGCTTCTCCCAATCTGATGCCACACCCTCCTTCATACAGTCCAGCTTCTCTGATTATTTGCTGGCATACAGATGGAGCAAGCAGAATGCAACCGGATGAGAACCTTCCTTAATGTTAAATAATGCACTATTCCTGTGTTCTGTTCTGCCTCTTGATCCACGTACAGGTTCTGCACGAGCACAATGAAGTGTTCTGGAATTCCATTTCTTCTCAAGGCTAGCCATCACTTGTTATGGTCCACACAGTTGAATGACTTTGCAGAGCCAAAAAAATAAAACACAAATAAACATCTTTCTGGTATTCTCTGCACTCAGCCAAGATTCATCTGATGTAAGCAATGATATCCCTTTAGTCCATGTCCTTTTCAGAAATGCACTTGAATTTCTGTCTGACAGCTCCCTGTTAATGGACTGCTGCAACCATTGTTGGATGATCTTCATTAACATTTTACTTGCATGCGATATTAATGTCGCTGTTCCATCATTCTGTTGGGTCACCTTTCTTTGAAATGGGTATAATTGTGGATCTCTGCCAGTCAGTTAGCCAAGAAGCTGCCTTCCAAACTTCTTTGTCTCGATGGCTGAGCGCTTCATCAGCTTGTTGAAACATTTCAATTGGTATCCCATCAATCCCTAAAGCCTCGTTTTGGGCTAGGGCCCTCCATGAAGCTTGAGCTTCTCTGCTAAGTACCACTGGTTCTTGCTCTTATGTCTACTTCTTGAAACGGTTGAAGGTCTACTAGTTCTTTTTTTGGTGCACTGACTTTTGGGGTTCTTTGCATCTTTGTTGGACGCTTCTGGTATTGTTCCATATTTTGCTCATAGACTCTTTCAATGTTGCAACTCAAGGAGTGGCTATTTTCTTCAACGCTTTCCATCTACATTATGCTGAGCGCGTTCCTCCTGCTTGATTCTCTACCTCCAGGGCTGTGTACATTTCATTATCATAGTCGGCTTCGTCTTCTCAAGTCACCCTTTGAAATGTTCTGTTCAGTGCTTGGACTTTATCGTTTCTTCCATGTGCTTTAGCTACTCTGGGATGGAGAGCTAGTTTCCGAGTCTCTTCTGACATCCACGTTCATCTTGTCTTTCTTTCCTGTCTTTGTAGCGCACCTGTGCTTTCTTCCTGTCTGGTGTTCTGGATGCCAGCCCCACTGCCCATCAGGTCTCTGTCATTAGGGCTCCATGCATCCTCGCTGCTCTTGAGACAGTCTCAAAATGCAGGTGGCATAGACTCCAGGTTGTATTTCGGCTCTCCTGGACTTGTTTTCATGTTCTTCAGCTTGAACTTGAACTTACCTATGAACAATTGATGGTCTGTTCCACAATCTGTCCCTGGCCCCCTTTTAGCAACGTTTTATTATGGAGCTGCTCCATCATGTCTTCCCACACGCGTAGTCCGTTTGATTTCCATGTCTTCTTCTGAAGAAGTCCATGTGGACGGCTGCTTTCTGTGTGGTTGAAAAGAGGACCTGGCAACGAGGAGGTCACTGTCCTTGCAGAAGTCTATCACGGGAGCTCCAGCTCATTTCTATCGCCAAGGCCATATTTCCCAACTACTGTTCCTTCCTCTTTGTTTCCAACTTTGCCTTCCAATCACCAATAATTATTAATGCATGTTCATTGTGTGTTTGATCAATTTCAGAGGGAAAACAGTGTTAAACCCAAACTAAACTCTCAGCCATGGAGTTGATGTCAACACATACTGACCCCACAGAACAGGTGGAACTGTCCCTGCACGACTGTACCTCTTTAGAGAAGTAAGAAGGCCCGTCTTTCTCTCCCAGTGTGGCTGGTGGTTTTGAACTGCTGACCTTGCGGTCAGCAGCCCAACACCTACCTACTGTGTCACCAGGGGTCCTGAAGACCTCAATAGAATACGTTAATGTCTTCATCACTAGCTTTAATGGTTGTATAAATTTGAATAATAGCTACATTACCTGGATTTCCCTGTTTGGGAATAGCTATTCTCCCATCACAGACAGCATCACACTTCAAGAGGAGCTTGAAAAAGTACAACCAGAAGGCTGCTTAGGAGCGAGGATGGTGAGACTGTCTCTCATACTTTGGACATGTTATCACTAGGA